TTGATAATGTGATAAACACGTTCATTCTTAATCTTCACATAAAGTCAAATAATTCATTTCCCTGTGTAAAACATAAAACAGGCAGGTTGTACATATTATTTTTGGTAAAGTAATCAGTATTAATCAGTGTATCTGCTACACAATGTGTTGTATTACTTGGTAATACCTCTGACCTAAAAAATGAGTTAAGCTGCTTACAGGACATAGGTTCATTTGCCTAATTCATTCAACAAATATTAATTCAGTGCCTGCAGTAGGCACTGAATTGAAAGCAAATACATGAGAGAAAACAGAATAATGTAGAGCAAAACAATATCCAGCTCTTAGGGGCTTGTGTCCACATTACCCCAACCCAATGGTAGGTTTTAAGTGCTGATATTTTGCAGTTAATCAGGGGCTTCTAAATGCTAATAATTCTTCTTTAGAAGTGATTCCAGAAGAAGCGGTGAAAAAGAAATAGTAATTCCTGTAGAGAAGTCCCAGTGTTACATATTTTAAAATTCAACTTAATGAGATCAACTCCAAAGCTATGCTTGAGAAACACATTCATATTTTTTAGTGTATGTGCTGCCGAAGCGAGCACGAGAAACACATTAATATTTTTTAGAATTATCTCAATATAGAACTCTATGCTTAAAATTATCCCATCTGGGTGGGCAACACATTTGATGATGCTTTTATAATCAAAAGAAACAGGAAATTAAATAATATCTATGTCTTTTAGGGTACCAGCATGCAGTTTACAGCATCAATGTGTTAATGAGCTGCAGACCACATAAATTTCAATAGGATAATGATGGTTCCCAAATATATGCTTAGGTGAGTCATTAGATAGTATCTTTAATAGCTTTTTAAGGGTCATCTTCAAGTTATAAATAATATAAATACATATACAATAATAAAACATGATCCCAATTTTCACTTGCAAAAAGGATAATGTTAGCTGCAATGTTAGCTCCACTTAAATGAGATGTCTAAAATCAATGACAAATAACAGTAAAATACCTACATGGCTAATTAAAATGGAACAATTATAAACAGTATGGACAAAACTAAAACACTAAAAGCATAACTAAAACTAGCACACAACCTCAGAGGAAATGATATTGCCATATGTTCATGAAAACCAGAAAACTGTTGTGTAGAATACAGAAACACTGTTGCTATTTTAATTATTTGTTTTTTTAAAAAGTTTTCCAAATTTCAACAAGAGTGATGAGTCAGATCTTCAGTACAAAGCAAAGCAGTATTTAATTGAAAAGATTACTGAGCTTGACAACTTCAGTCTTTTCAGCCACACACAGCCAAAGTGTCATTTTCAAATATGAAAAATAATCAACACAAATGATAAAAATATTTTTAAGTTGTTATATTAACTAATGTGAGTTGAGACTTGAGATCTCATTTGTAAATCCATTTTAAATCTAGGTCCTTATAGATTTAATCCAATTTTTCAAAAAAAAATCTTAACACGCCTGTTACAGAGATCCTAATTGTTAAAGATCTTTGACCCACAGCATACCTATCCCTTCAACATGGCAGGCCCTCTTGGCCTTGGCTCATTTCCACTTGAGATTGGTTTTGTTCAGTATTATATACATGCATACATGCAGCATAATACAGGAAATATTATAATGCACTCAAAATTTGTTTTATTCACATACTATCTCCTACCGGTACATGTTAGCTCAAAACATCTTCCATAGGGAAATATACATAAGAGATATTAGCTCAGGCCAATTAGCAAGGCTGAAGACATAAAAGAAACTCACTCTAACGTCAGATTAATGCTGAAAAATTATTATGGTTTAAGTTTCCTGGAAACCTTCACGTTGTTAGAATGTGATCACCATGTGAACTGGACACATGTTCCTTCCAGACAATGAAAGCTCGAAGTATCATCTTAGCCTTCCATTGATGGACATTATCAATATCCCTTACCAGGAGGCAAGCTATCCACTCCTTTGAAGTAAAATCTTCATGTGGACCTCTCTTTCAGTCTTTAGCAAGAGTCCTTAATGTCACTCTGTAACCCCAATAATTCCTGGTCTCCAATCTCCCTTTTCCTGGACAATTTTAACCTGTAGCAATATTTATTTATTTATTAGATGGGGTTTTACTCTATTGCCCAAGCTGGAGTGCAGTGGTGTGATCATGACTCACTGCAGCCTCAACCTTCCCAGCTCAAGTGATCCCCTCACTACAGCCTCCCAAGTAGCTGAAACTACAGGTGTGTGCCACCACACCTGGCTACTTTTTGTTTGTTCGTTTGTTTTTCTGTAGAGACAAAGTTCTGCCATGTTGTCCAGGCTGGTCTCTAACTCCTAGGCTCAAGAAGATTTGACTGCCTCGGTCTCAAAGTGCTGAGATTACAGGTGAGCCACCACGCCCAGCCTGCTTTGTAGTAATTTAAATCCAAGTAAACCTCAACAGTAGCAGTATCTTGGGGCATTTAAATTTCACTTTAATCAACTGATAAAACCAAACTTGAATATGACAATTTTGTAGGGCATAAGCAAATTCCATGGATTCCTTACATTTATGGTCCTAGACTAATAATATTTTGGTGTTTGAACACCAAATATTTGTAATCTATGTAAGTAAAGAACATGAGGGGAAACACACTTTACTTTCTAAAATTATTCCTCTCCATCATCCTCTTTCTCTAAGCCTTCTTTAATTATGGATTGAAATTTAGTTAGGTTTATCCGGTTCATTCCGATACCTCTAAGAGAGGTCATTTAATACCTTATAGCATAATATCACACCGGGTGATTTAAGCTCCTCTCCTACACAGTTTCAAAAACAGAAAAGCAACGAACATTCTTAAAAAAGATCTTCACCAGTCATCCACAGTCAGAGGGACATTTGGAAGCAATCGCAAAAAACGGTGGAGACAACATACAGTTTTTCTCAGCACAATTTACATAGTTGTCTGGCTAGTCTCTTCTTGTAAAAGTCCAGTGTCTTCATTTGATGTGCTAAGTTAAACTGTAAACTCCTGAATAATTTGAACTCTTATTTGGGAAAAAAATGTTTTTTCACCTATATACTATAAAAAATGGTGACGTTTATCACAAGGGTCATGCTGTGGGTTCCCATAAAAGACACTGTAGAGCGTGATAAAGAACGTTTTCTCCCAGAAGAACATTTATCTCCAAAACCCAGTTCTCCATGTTAAACATCACCTTTGGTTTATCCTTCAGACTCACCATACCCATGATGTTTAAAATTGCAACCCATACCTGCACTCTCAATTCCCTTTCTCTGTTCTCCTTTTTCATAGCGTTTGTAATTTTCTAACCGAATAAGCAAATATGGTTTTTATCATTCTTTGCTAGAATGTAAGCTCCAGAGGGAAGGAATCTTTGTCTGTTTTGTTCACTGATATATCCCAAGCACCAACGACAGGACCTGACAGAAAATAAACTTTTGTTGAATAAGTGAATGAATCTATGTTGAGTTCAGTACAAAAATATCTCTGGAGTTAAGTTAGTTTCCCATTTTACTTCCACAATCAACAAATACCTTCTGAGCTTCAATTACGGTGGAGGTAGATTGATCATACCCTTACAAATACATAATATCAGACGGTGATTAAATGCTACAAAGCCAAACTAGCAGTACAAGAGTTTGGAGGGCCAGCCATTTTAGGTGAGGTAGTCACCTCTCTGAAATGATGGCAATTGTTTCAAGACTTAAACGAAGTTCTGTGCCATGCAGGCTTGGGGGGAGAGGGAAAGTGAGCATTGAACATACTGGAAATATCAAATGCAGAAGCCCTGGGGTGAGGGTCTGCTTGGCGAGGCCAGCAAGAACAATAAGGCTTGAGTGGTGGAAGTGGGGCATGCAAGAACCTATCATTCTTGTTGCTTTTACCTGCTACTTAATAACATGCATGTGCTGTCTAGCAGGAAATAAAGAGATTACATTTCAGCCAGAGTACTCATTCTCTGAGCCTAAATGGCTCTTCCAGCCCCCAAATCTGTATCACCACATCATATAAGATTACAAGGCACACAGTAATGACATTGTTAGAAACTCTTCACGGTAGCCTCAGCAGTCACGAAACTGACTTAACTAGGACCCCCGTCTAGTAAGGTATACAGCCCAGCAGGAACACAATACTAGGAAGGTGCAAAGCCAGGAGGCTAAATAAACGTTAAACGGTGACTGTCACTTTCGAGTGCGGGGGAAAGAGCAATGATCCAGAGCACTGTTTGTGAACTCAACCACTTTTATTCAGCTCTAACAAGGTAAGTTGCCAAGCGCGGTACAAAGTAGCTCCACGAAATGCATTTTGTTTTAGTCCTGGCCTCGAACTGTTGCAACATTTTATGTCATTTTTGCAAAGAACAAAACCAAAAAGTTCATTCTAAATTCGCCTTCCAACTCAGTTCTTTCTCCGCCAAGACAGAGCGCTTGGAAAGTTTTCAATGTCTGAAAACCTCTATTTCCAGGGCTGAGCAGATCAGTCATGTTGCGGCTTAAGACGCTCGGCGATTTCTTCCCCTCCCTCCACAGTTCCAAAACAGCTTCGCCTAACAAAGTCAAACTTTCTGCGCTATTCCTGGACATCAGGACCAAATGTCGAAAGTATATACTGCCACTGAGTTAACGAGCCGGTCTGGGGCCCGGGACCTGTGGTACTAGATTTATGGGACTGGAGCCTAGGGGTCGAGGCGACAGAAATGAAAACATCAGCAACCTATGCAATGCTGCGAGTTGGTTATGTAGGCGAAACTCCAGGCAGGACGCTCCCCCGGGATCCGTGACGGCCCCCTCCCCCGCCCCAGTCGCACCGGACGCGGGAGCCTAAGTTGAGAGCGGCCTCTCGGCAGGCGATCACCCTGGAATGACGCCAAACGGGACCCCTACCAGAGGACTCGCGCATGCGCAGCGCAGCCTGGGCCGGCGCTTCGGCAGGATGTAGTCCCAGAGCAGCGCGCCGGACCCACGCCAGCGGAATTGCGCATGCGCAGGGCAATCTCTGCCCGCGGCCTGGGCTGGGGTGTAGCTCCAGAACCTAGCCTCCAACTCCCGCCAGCAGGTTTACGCATGCGCGGCGACGCCTAGGCCTGTGGCACGGTAGTGGCTCTACTCCCCTGGGCCCCTCAGCGTTTTCTGGCGGGGAGGTCGGGCTGCAGGGCGGGGAGGGATGGCCTGCCCCAGGGGTACCTGACAGCATCCCACGTCACGGCCGCGATCCCCCTCGGCCTCCCACACCACTCCTCCACCCTCTTACCTCCGCGCAGGCCGGAGCCTCGTCCGCTCCGCCTCCTGGGTAGCGGTTACTGCACGGTCAGGGGCCCTGCGCCGCGACGAGTTGGCGCCTCCCCCTGAAACGGCCCGGCCTCGGCGGGGTGCGCTTGGGTGCCCGACCGACAGGGAAAGGAAGGGAGCGCAGACGAGGGGAGGGGGCTGGCGACGGCGCCTCGCCCCTCCTCTCCTCCCTGGGCTGCCCACCGCCGCCCCTCCCCTTTCTCGCAGACGCCCCCTCCCCTCGTAGTTGACCCCCGGGAGTGGACGCCGCATCTCCAGCTGGGGCCGTCTCAGCTTTTCCAGGGAATTCCTCCGTGGGTCACCCCCACCTTCTCAAGGGTTATGTTCTCGAAAATCTTGGGAATTTGTGGATACCCGTTCTAGAAGAATGAGGCGTGTGTGATGCTGAGAGCAACCTTTTCCACAGCCCCTCTCCTTCAGGCTGCCCCAGCTTTTCTTCTAGTGGTGGCCCCTCCATCTGGGAGCTCCGACGTTTTCACCCCATTGCTTTGGGGCGGAAGTCCTGTAACCCCCTATAGTACAAATGCTGAAATAATGAGGGATGTGTGCTGGGGGGTTCGGTGGGGGTGACCTCAGTTACCTTGGGGCCAAGGGCTTCAGTAACAGCCACCTTCTCCCCTTATTATTATAATATTTTGCAGTAATTTATTATATCACACTGCACTTCTGTTGGCCTTTATAGATTTAAGTGAAATGCAACACAACTTTGCAATGTGCAATAATTTCTTCCACTGCACTACACTTAAATTGACGTGAGTGGGTTTTGGTAAAATGCTCAACAGTTAAATGTTATTAGCTACTCCTATGAAGTAAGCTGCTTGCTCTTATACTGGCTGTTTCATGAGTACACTGGTTCCTCTCCAGTGTAGAGCCAAAAGTAGTAAAGCCAGATAGAAAAACTGAGATTCCAAACCACAGTGACCGTGTCAGTCTGTTTGTCTGGCTTTTGCCATTTCTTCGGAAAAACATCATTCTGAAATGTGTAACTGCCTTTCTGCTACGGACGGCAGACATTTATCTCCACTCTCTGAGCGTAGCCCACTGAGCCTCACAAGGAGGCGCGCAAGATGGTATACAGGTATTTCTCCTAGAGCTCTAAATAGAAGAAAAAGTAAGTATACATTCACAGGACGTTGCAGAGAGAGTACAGAGAGGCATCGTGTGCCTGCCCCAAGTTTCCCATTGGTTACATCTTATCAATGAAAGAAATTTTTGAGTTAAACATGTTTGCTGTCAGAAAAAGCTCACTTCAGTGATGATAGCTGGCTTTTTTTTTTTTTTTTTTAAGCACCTATTGTGTGCTGGGAGCTTTATCTTATTTGGAGCTCACAATAATCTTATAAAGCAAGGATGATCCTTACTTTACAGATAAAGCAACTCAGGCCCCAAGAGATTAAGTTTCTATCATCAGCAGCCATAGCAAGATCTGTTTGCCTTGCACACTTGGTCTTTTCCACATTATGGACAGCTGAAGTTCATGCAGGCCTTACACTGTGCTTCAGGTGAAGCCTGACAATTAGCTAACGATAAAATCATGTCTTAGTGTTTTGAAAACTGTGATATTATCTCAGAAGTTAAAACTTTTAAATATACCTATAAAAGAATGTGTTTCACTAAAGATTTCAATTTTATGTGGGTCCAACAGTTTTTTCCAGGGTGGTCAAAGTTTAGAGTAAGAGGTAAAAATGTCTCAATCACATACAAGTTTCCTTCAAAATTTTTGGATAATTTGGTCTACTAAACTTCACTGTATTGCTGAATTCAGTAGACTAAAAAATTGGACTCTGAGAGAGTACAGGTTAGTATTTCAGGAGTTAAAGTTCCCATCACCACATCTCCCAAGTTTACCTACATCTGGACCTGTGCACTTTGTATTCCCTTCCGTTACTGGGAATGAGCTGTGCATGCTCTTATTTAAGTTCAACACTTCCACCTTTGTATTAGATCCTGTCTTCCTTACAGTCTCAACTTTTTCACTCGGGTAGTTGTCAGCTCTCAATCCTACATTATTAATTTTTATCTCTATGCTGGATCTTTCCCATAAGCATATTCATATTGTGCAACATTTGCCTATCTTTTAAAAAGTTCCTTGATTACATGTTTCTTCCAACGTATTCTCTGGTCTCTTCCAAAATGTCTTAAAAGAGTCATTTATGCTCACTGTATCCTCATCCCCTCCTCCAATTTTTCTTTTTCTTTCTTTTGTTTTTTTTTTTTTTGGAGATAGAATCTTGCTCTGTTGCCCAGGCTGGAGTGAAGTGGCTCAGTCTCAGCTCACTGCAACCTCTGCCTCCCGGGTTCAAGTGATTCTCATGCCTAAGCCTCCAAAGTAGTTGGGACGACAGGTGTGTGCCACCATGCCCAGCTGATTTGTGTATTCTTAATAGAGATGATGTTTCACCATGTTGGCCAGGCCAGTCTTGAGCTCCTGACCTCAGGTGATCTGTCCGCCTCAGCCTCCCAAAGTGCTGAGATTATAGATGTGAGCTACCATGCCTGGCCCTCCTATTCATTCTTAAATCTATTTCAGCCAGGCTTTTGCCCCTACCCCTCCGTTGAAACTCCTCTTGGCAAAGTCACCAATGACGTCAGAATTGCTAAATCAGTGGTTACTTTTCCATCATCTCACTTGAACTATCAGCAGCATTAGAAACAGTTGCTTACAGCCGCCATCTTGAAGCATTCACCTTCTTCCCGTGGCCTTCAGGTGGCCCCTGTCTCTTGGTTCGTCCACCTCACTAGCAGCTTCATTGGCTCATCCTCCACTTCACCAGCCATTGGCATGCCTAGAGTTTGGTTCTTGGACTTCTCTATCTTCTCATTCCCTTAGCAATTTTATTTCAAGACATGTTTTTTTGTATTCAGCCTGGGGCCGTTCCTTCTCCACCCAACCCTCCATGTCCTGCCGCTTCTTATGTCCTAACAAGTTCATGACATTACTTTCGTGAAACTGGGAGCCCTTGTCCTTTTCCAGCCCACAATGGGGACCCAGCTGCAATAAAAGTCTTCCCTTTCTTCCCTTTTTAACCCCTCCAGTTACTTCTGCTTTGGGGTATCTTTAAGCCTTCTTTAGTTATCCAAAATCAGAGGAATTCATCTTCCTTTTTTCTTTTCAGGTATACAGGCACCAAGGCCCTAATCACAAGAAAAGTTGGATGGGGCCATCTTTTGACTTTTTCTTGGAAATTCAGAAAGTCTAGTTATGTTTCAGGGAAGAGGAAAATGTTCTTTCTTTCCTCTTTGAGTCTCTAGAACAAAAATTTAGCACCAGTAAATTTCTACATCAGTCTGCTTGTTACAGAATGAATGCATGAATGAATGACTGCAAGCAGCCTGCACGTTGGTGCCGTATGTGCCATTGATTAGGTAAATGACCTTGGGTAGCACCTTAGTTTTCTAGAACTTAAATTCCTTGAGACTTCATTAAATTGGTGCACTGCCCAGCTCTGCGTTTTGTGGAGATATCAGTCACACTGCACCTTTACTGATACATGCTATTACCATGCTGTATAGCATTGTGCATCTCAGCATGGTATTAGAATTGGCATTAGAATACAAAAGTGATAAAGATGATAATAGGCATATATACACTTACTGTGGCAATACTGAAAGAATGACAAAATACCAAGAGGTGATCAAAGAAGGCTTTCCAAAACAGATAACTTTAGCATTAAGTTTTTAGTGTGGGCTGGGTGCAGTAGCTCATGCCTGTAATCCCAACACTTTGGGAGGCAGAGATGGGTGGATCACTTGCGGTCAGGAGTTCTTGATCAACCTGGCCAACATGGTGAAACCCCATCTCTGCTAAAAATACAAAAATTAGCCAGGCATGGTGGTGGGTGCCTGTAATCCTAGCCACTCGGGAGGCTGAGTCAGTGTGTATATAAGTTAGCTAAGAGAACAAAGGTCAGGGATGAAAGTGTTAGGGAAGGGAAGTATTCTAAGTAGAATAAGAAATGTGATGTGTTTGAGAATTATAAATTGCTCAGTAAGGCTGAAACAAAGGCTATATGGAGGGAATAGGGCAACGGGAGGAGATTAACCATTCATTCATGAATGGACACTAGGGATGATTCTGTATCTCGACAATTGTGAATAATGCTGGAGTGAACATGGGAGCGCAGATATCTCTTCAACGTACAGATTTCATTTTCGTTGGACATATACTCAGTAGTGAGACTGCTAAAAATAGTCCTATTTTTAATTTTTGGAGGACTTCTGCACTGGTTTTCGTAATGACTGTACTAATTTACATTCCCATCAACAAAGGTTCCCTTTTCTCCACGTCATTGCCAACACTTGTTATTTTTCATCTTTTTTATAATAGCCATTTTTACAAGTGTGGGATGGTATCTCGTCGTGGCTTTAATTTGCATTTCCCTGATGATTAATGATGCTGAACTTTTTTTCATCTACTTGGCCATTTGTATCTCTTCTTTGAGAAATGTTTATTCAGATGCTCTGCCCATTTTTAAATTGGGTTGTTTTCTTGCTATTGAATTGTTTGAATTCCTTACATATTTTGGATATTAATGCCCTAACAAATGTATGGTTTGCAAATATTTTCTCCAACGTGCTAGCTTTTGTCTTCACTCTGTTGATTGTTTTCTTTGCTGTACAGAAGATTTATAGTTTGATGTAATTCTGTTTGTCTATTTTTGCTTTAGTTGCCTGTGCTTTGGGGTCATCTTCAAAAAAATCATTGCCCAGAACAATGTCATGGAGTTTCCCCTATGTTATAGTAGTTTTATAGTTTCAGTCCTTAAGTTTTAAGTCTTTAATTCATTTTTAGTTGACTTTTATATTTGGTGTGAGAAAAAGGTTTCATTTCATTCTCCTGCATAGGGATATCCAATTTTCCCTACACCATTTTTTTTGAAGAGACTGTTCTTTCCCCATTGTGTTCACAGCCTTGTCAAAAATCAATCAACCTTAAAAAAAAAAAAAAAAAAGACAATTCTGTCATTTGTGACAACATAGATGAACATGGAGTTCATTAAGTAAAATGCCACATGATCTCATTCACATATGGAACCTTCAAATGTTGAACTCATAGAAGTTGACAGCACAATGGTGGTTATTAGGCACTGGGACTGGGGAGGATCAGGGAGATATTGGTCAAAGAATAAAAAATTTCAGTTAGGTAGGAAGAATAAGTTCAAGATACCTACAGTACAATAGGGTGATTGTAGTTAATAACAATGTTTTGTATATTTACAAATTGCCAAGAAAGTAGATGTTAAATGTGCTCAGCAGACACACACAATGATAAGTATATGAGGTAATGCATTTATTACTTAGCTTGATTCAGCCATTCCATAATGTATCCATATATCAAAAGATCATGTTATATACCATAAATATATAGAATTTTGTTAATTAAAAAATAAATTTTTAAAAATTAATAGTTTAAAATAGCTTTTTCTTTTTTTTTTTTTTTTTTTTGAGATAGAGTCTCCTTCTGTTGCCCAGGCTTGAGTGTAGTTTCATGATCTCAGCTCACTGCAACATCTGCCTTTCAGGTTCCAGTGCTTCTCCTGCCTCAGCCTCCCAAGTAGCTGGGACTACAGGCGCACCACCATACCCAGCTAATGTTTGTATTTTTAGTGGAGATTAGGTTTCACCATGTTGGGGCCTTGGGAGTCACACCCTCCAAACCATAGTCTCATCAGACGGGTTTTATTTAGTGCTACATAACGTGACCTACTTTCCAACCTGACTCTGGCATAATATCATGTGATAGATAAGGAAGGAAATCAAAATATTTTAACCCTAAATACATTTTCTTTGCCATATCTTGAAGTAGTCCTGCAAATGGAAAATCAATATTCTAAAGAGAATCCCCTTCCTTCTCTCTCCTTTTTCTTGTTTCAGGAGAGAATTACCTCTGATAAGAAACTTTTATAATCTATTCTCTCTGATGCCTGCTACCTGGAGACTTCATCTGCATAATGAGAACCTTGGTCTCTACAACCCCTCATCTTAACCCAGACATCCCCTTCTATTAGTTCTATTTGCATAATGGAAACCCTGGTCTCCACAACCCCTTATCTTAACCCAGACATTCCTGTCTATTGATTCTAAGGCTTTAGACAACAATTTAACTCTTTCAACCTATTGCCAATTAGAAAAACTTTGAATCTACCTATAACATGGAAGCCACTCCTTCCAGTTGTCCCATCTTTCTGGACGAAACCAATATACCCCTTACATATATTGATTGATGTTTTATTTCTCCCTAAAATGCATAAAACCTAGCTGTATCCTGTATCCTGACCACCTTGGGCACATATTCTCACAATCTTCTGAGGGCTGCGTCATGAGCAATCTGTCACTCATATTTGGATCAGAATAAATCCCTTCAAATATTTTACAGAGTTTGACTCTTTTTGTCAACATTACAATTATTGGCAACTTAAGTCATTTTTGCCCCATCCTACAGGTGAGATGGTGAAGACTTAGGTTAGATAACTTGCCTAAGGTCACATAAGTAGTAAGAGGTGGAACTAGGACTCAAATCCATCTTCGATTCCCATCTGGAGCTTTTCCACTGGACCATGTGGCCTCTTTCCAAATTAGAGGTAAAGGTAAATGGGCCAAATAATAGAAGGCCTTGTCAATGTAACAGCAAGATGTATCATAGGATCTAACAAAGGATTTTAAGCAGGAGGACAACATGATGGCTCACCGTCATGCCAATGGGGAGAAGGGTGATCTGGGAGCCACGGAAACCACTTGAAGACACTATTACATCAACCCTGGCAGGAAACCAGCTCTCCTTGAACTCAATGTGACAGTGGCGTGGGCTTAAAGAGAGAGGAGAACATGGATTTGAGAAAATTTTAGGAGTTGAAATTAGCAAGACTAGATATAAAGAGTAGAAAAGGGCCAGGTGTGGTGGCTCACACTTGTAATCCCAGCACTTTGTGGGGCTGAGACAGGAGGATGATTTGAGGCCAGGAGTTCAAGACCAGCCTGGGCAACACACTAAGATCCTGTCTCTACACACACAGAGAGAGAGAGAGAGAGAGAAAAGAACTTAATGGGATGTGGTCTCATGTCTGTAGTCTCAGCCACTAGAGAGGCTGAGGTGGGAGGATCACTTGAGCCCAGGAGTTCAAGGCCGCAGAGCCTTGATTGTGCCACTGTATTCCAGCCAGAGTGACAGAGTTTTCGAAACCCCACAACTCAAAAAATAAATAAATAAATAAATAAATAAAAGTAGATGTGCAACACTTGCAGGGAATAAAAAAAGAATAAAAAATAATGTGAACTTAGTAAATCACTTAATATTCTCAGGGCCTCAAAAATCTTTACCTTTAAAAATGGAGGGTTAGACTCAGTGTTTCCTTAATATTTTAAGATTTTTGCAAAGCCAACTAATACCAAAGCGTGATAAAGATTGCACATTTTTTGCATATTGAGTAGGAAAAATATACTAAATAAAATGTAACAAATAGAAACTAGCAATAATTTTAAAAATATATTTTACGATTACCAAGATTGGGTTCCTTTCAGTGATGTAAATATGATTCAGTGTTAAGAAATTGATTAATATATTCCTCCATAATAATAGGCCAAAGGAATAGAAATGTTTTAACTGATGATGAGAAAAATGTTTGATTAATAGTCTGTAGTCATTTTTGATCAAAGAAATCTTTAGTAAGTGGCTACATATGCTGAAAGCTAGGTTCGTGCTTAATGGTTATAAATCAAAAATAAAATTCTAAGCCCCTCAACCATCTGAATGGACCCCTACTGTTGGCCAAGTGCACTCCAAGTTAACCTGAAAACCTAGTTCAGGCTATGATGGGAAGGAGGAGTCAGACATGCCTCTTTATACCCTCCTCCCTTTTGGAATTCAGGAAAAGCTAGCCAGAATTAACATTAACACATACCTTAACTCTGATAAGAAACATTTATAATTGTTAAATCAAGTTTAGCTTAAAGCTGCCTTCTTACATATTTTAAGTTTGGCCTAAAGGTTTTTCTGTACATCATGAATTATAACAAGTAGAGGTGTATATGGAATACTATGCAGCCATAAAAAAGGATGAGCTCATGTCCTTTGCAGGGACATGGATGAAACTGGAAACCATCATTCTCAGCAAAGTAACACAAGAAAAGAAAACCAAACACCTCATGTTCTCACTCATAAGTGGAAGTTGAACAATAAGAACACATAGACACAGGGAGGGGAACATCACACACTGGGGCCTGTTGGGGATTGGGGGACTGGGGGAGGGCTAACATTAGGAGAACTACCTAATGTAAATGACAAGTTGACGGGTGCAGCAAACCAACATGGCACATATATACCTATGTAACAAACCTGCACGTTGTGCACATGTACCCCAAAACTTAAAGTATAATAATAAAAAATAAATTTAAAAAAAGAAAAAAAAAAAACAAGTAGAGGTGTAAACAAACTGTAGCACACAATTGTGCCAATCACTGAGTTTTCCAAAATCTGATTTCCTTGAATGTACCTTCATAGTTTCCTCAAATTGGTGTGATTGGATCTAGAGTCTTGGTTAGGTTCAGGTTCTATTTTTTTGGCAAGATGAATTCCTAGATGGTGTTGTGTCCTTCCACCAGGAGGCATATAATGTTGGGTTGTTTCTTTCTGTGATATTGGTAGTTGTTAGTGCTCAATACCTAGATCTGTTAACTCAGCAGATATTGGAAATGGTCCTAACCCTATCACTTTCATCTTCATTTATTAGCTGACATGCTTTTATAAAGGGAAACCTCCTTCCTCAATGATTTGATTTCCTAATGACATAGGAAAAGCATGATAAGCATTTGATTCTGTCTCCTAATTTGTCAGTTTTTATAATAATTTTATAATAATGGGTTGGACATTAGCAGTCTGCAATGGCCACTAATTGAGTTTGTTTGTTGGTTTGGTTGTGAATTCATGAATTTAAGCTTATTTTATTGCCCACAGGACTCTGCTTTTTGTGACAATCACAGAGGAGTAAGTCTGGCTTGTCTGAGACAGTCATATCAATTCATTCTCACTTCACAGTGTCTGGGGTGGCCATGTGACTGGTCCTAGCCATAGACATTTTGATAGGGACGGGGACCGAGAAATTCTAGGCAAAGAAGGGCAGGTCCCTGGTGAAGCCCCATCTCAAGCTGAAAAGCCTGAGACTGCAGCCCAAAGTTAGAACTTACACCACTGTTTCCCTGCTCGAATGTTGCCTTTTCCAAAGCATCTATGGCCCCACCCTGCCCCCCATCCTGTGCCTGTAAAAACCCTAGGCTCAGCTGGCAGAGAGAGGAGAAGCAGCTGAATGTCAGGGACTATGACTGGACATCAGAGAGAAGTGGCCTGACTTCAGAAGGACAGCTTGATGGCGTAACTTTGGAGAAGAATCTGACTGGAGACTGCCAGACTTCAGGGGAAGATTACCTTCGTGTCTTGTCACCTTTTCAGCTTCCTCTCTTGGTGATGATCACTTTCATTGTCAATAAAATCCATGCATTTACCATCCTTCAATTAATTCTTGAGACCTAATTTCTCCTGGATGCTGGACTAGAGCTCGGGAGCCATGAGTGAGGATACAAAAAAGCTGTCACACTTGCCCTTTGCCCTCACTGGCAGAAGGCAGTCGCCTCATATGAAAAGGCAGAGGGCCCACTGAACTGTTAACACTCAAGTTGTCTGTGTATAGCAGGCAAAGCTAAAAGGGCACTGTAGCACTGCCTCTGGGGTTTCAGGGGTTGCAGGCACCCCCACCAGCCCCCCAGATGCTGCCACAGGGCCTGCACAGAGTTCACTCCGGCCAGCACCAAAAAGCACTCGCCCTGGCTCCTGCTCACCTATGTGCTGCCTCCCATGAGGAGTGGAGTGCAGCAAATCCAGGTGAGTGGAGTTCACTCCTGCTGGCACAGAAGCAGCCGGCTAGTTCCAGCACCCGTGCACTCCAGTTCCTGCCCCGTTTGCTCGCATGCTGCCTCCCTCAAGGGGTTGAGAGCTTGTGGACTGAGTAAACAAGACAGCCCCTTTGCAAGTCCCACGAAGGGGTCAGGTAAATATCATGCTTCAATTTCATACAAGGAAGTCCACTAGGAAGCTTCTGAAAACACACGCCCACCTACCTACCCAGCTGCCCCCTCCTTCCCTTCCTGCTTTTTTTATGTTGTCACATGAGGACTTGTTTGGAGAGGTGCTGCTGATTGGAACATCCCAATGGATACATGTGACACAAATGCACAACTGTGAACACTAATACTGCAGAGTTTTTGACAGGGAAAGCTGTCTAGGATGTGTTGCTGATAGAAATACAAGTCATAAAAACTATATATGTAAAATTGAACACAAGTGTGTCTATTCACACTGAGACCTGCTTGGAAATACTTAAATACTGAGTGATCATTTCTGAGAGTTGAAATATTGACTAATTTATTTCTCTCTTGTACTTTTATAATTGTTTAAGGTTTAAATTTTTACATGAATAATAATCTTTTTTAAAAAGTATGATTCCTATTTATCTCATGTTACTTATAATGGTTTTTTTTCCCAAATATATAAGATCTCATAACTGGCATTACATGATTTTTTCCATGGCATGATCATCAACAGGAAATGTTTTAATTCTAGAATAACATTTACTGACAAATATTTTTGGAAACATTTAAGCATTTCCTGATCTGAAAATTTTTGTGATTTTTTTGTGTAGTTTATTGTTATACTTAATAATGCTTTCTAGTCCAGTGGAACACAGTCATCTTGTCGGAAAAAATACTTTCAGAAAAATATGAGTTTTATAGAGAGACATTTTCTACTCACTAGAAAAATGAAATTAGTACATTTTTCACTTAGTGGTAAAAATGATAAGCAGTCTCCCTTTAGCCTACCTTTAAGAAATTTCAATTTCTTGGATCCATTTAATTCTCCTAAGACACTGCATATTCTTAAAACCAAAAGGATATTTTTAAAAAATCTCTAGGCTTCCAGAATAAAATTGAAAAAAGGTCTTCTTTCTTTTGTTAGTAACTCTTCAAATGACTGGTCCTGCACAGGGGGTCAAGGCCAGGCTATCACAGTAGACAAAGGAAATAGGCTCAGTGCTGCGTGCCCTGCATTATGAAAGCTGTTGTGACAAATTCAACGTAAGCTATAAACTTACTCTCTGGATCTCATAAAGTCAAGTCAAAAATGCCAGAAAGAAACGTGCGGAGCCGAGGCTGGAGATGAATCTAGAAAGGCAGTTCCTCAAAGGTGTTGATAAATATTAAACAGAGAGCAGATATGCTCTGGAGGATGACATGAGGGGGACAAGTTGGATGTAGGGAAACAAATAGACATGGTTGAAGGAATCCAGAGGAATTTGAGTGGTGGTTTTGAGATGGAGAGGAGAG